TGACTGCCTATAATCCACCCTTATTGTTCCTCTTGTTAGTTGCCATCAAGTTGACCTTGACTCATGGAAACCACGTGTGCAGAGTAGAACCAACTGCTCCATAGGGTTTCCACAGCTGTAAAGTAAAGCTGACCGCCTCATCTTTTTCCCATAGAGCAGATGGTGGGTGTGAACTGCCTACCTTTTAGTCAGTAGCTAACACATGAATGCTTCCAGGAGGTTCTCAAGGATCTGAGAGAAACATTTATTATAAGGGTCTGAATCCTGAGACTACAAACTGAATATGAGAGTCTGAAAACAGAGCATAGGGTTTGTATGTATATATTTCTATTTCTATTTCTACTATTTCTATTTCTTTCTATTATTTCTATTTTTTCTGTTTCTATTTCTTTATATTTATGTATTTATATTCATATTTATTTATATAGATAATTCCTTTGACACTATTATCTCACACACATTAATACTTGTTATTTCACCACTTTGTTTTATGCTCTTTGAGACGTCTAATTGTAATTTTTAACTCTTTATTGTGATTTTAATAGAAGCACACAAAGCCAACTGGCATCCCATTCAACCACCACTCATGCAGATTTTCCTTTCATAGAACCCATTACAATCCCCACATTGTATCATGGTTCTTCCTGTTATATCGCTCAGGTTCTAGCCCTGAAACCCTCTGTGGTTGGTTGTTCTACAGGCTGAACATCGTCCTGAGGTTGTTGTTCACCTCATAGATATGTCTGTTGTTTCGTAACAAGCTGTACCACAAGGGTGAATTCAGCTCTGGGCTTAAAGGGTAGCCAAGGACCATGGGATCTGTGGTTCCACTATCGCTTGCAGACAGGCAAGCTTGGCCATTATTGTGATTTTTACTTTTGCTCTACCTTTGAGTTCTATTGTACCTTTATCTCCCCTTTTAACCAGGATCATCTATTATGATTCATTTCCCAATGACTTCCAATGAGAGACCAGTATCACCAAGTCTTTTGGCCACAGGGTGTGGATGTTGACATTGTAAGGCCAATTAGTACTATATTCTTACCGTGCAACTTTGTCTTTTCTTTGCTCCATACAGATAAAAAGCAGTAGAAATACCTTAGAGGTCCACAATCAAGCTTTTAAATCCTCAGTTGTTACTTATCAATGTTGTGGTTGTTATTGTTGTTAAGTGCCTTTGATTCAAGCACAACTCACAGCAACCCTATGAAAAAAAGACCTGAACCCTGGTCTGTAACTATCATTGTTTCTCTATGTTCATAGAGTTTCCAGAGGAATTCTGTTTAGAAAGTGAATGCCACTCCTGATTCCAATATCAATGTAGGGTATAAAATATCCTTAAATACGGCATGTGGTGTTTTGATTGTTGCTTTTGTGGGTGTTAATTGTGGATTCACATTAAATGGGATAACTGGCATTGAAACAAAGACTCGAAAATTGTGCTTTGCAGTGTATATAGCCCCAAGCTTATATCATTTCTTGTTTCCTCATCTTGCCAATAAGTCTAGAATGGCGGCTAAAATAACTTCTGTCTTGTAAATGAAAATAACAAGGGTGGAGTTATTTCTATAAGTAAATATTTCTCTGTGTTTTAAATTTTAAACCTGATTATAAAGGAATAATGACTGCAGAGAGAAAAAATGTTCAATTCTTAGCCTTGTAAATAATTATTATTTTCAAAAGTGAACCCAGTGCACACCCATGTTTATTGTGGCTTTGTTCACAATAGCAAGGAGTTGGAAACAACCTAAGTGCCCATCAACAAACGAATGGTTAGAGAAGCTATGGTATAGTCACAAAATGGAATACTATGCTGCATTGAAAAACAGGGAACTTATACGATATTATTCAAAATGGGTGACCCTGGAGGACATTATGCTGAGTGAAGTATCTCAGTCACAAAAGGACAAATACTGCATGGTGCCACTGTTGTAAAACAGGACTGACATCGGGGTTGGGGAGAGACTGAGAAAGATGGGTCAATAATGTATACTGCACTGAAACGGATGAGGGAGAAAACTGTTTAAAAGGGATATGTGATTAGGTATATTTGTCATGACAGGAGTCTAGAGTGAAGGCTACATGGTGGAGTGGAGCTGGGGGAGGATTTGTAAAATAATGAAAGGATTTTTGTTTTACTTTTCCAAGAGGATAGTGTACTGGGGGGAAGGTTGGGAAGGGAGAAAAGTGCAACAATGAATGAATGGAAGTCAAAGGCTCTGAAAATTTTTACTGAAATTAATAATAAATTTAAATAAAAGAAAAAATAAAACAAACAAAAAAGTGAATCCAGAGAGTGTAAAAATGCTCTTTGAGAAATCTGTTTTGTAGATGAAGCAGCCATATGTGTCAGTGACAAATCAAGGTAAAGAAGTAATAATTGGTCAGTATGTTGTTGTTATTAGGTGCTGACGAGTCAAGTATGACTTATAGTGATGCTATGGACAACAGACCTAAATCCTGTCCTATTCTGTGCTGTACTCAATCACCAACTCTGACACATTTGAGTCCTTTGCTACAGTCACTGTGTTTATCCATCTTATTAAGGATCTTCTTCTCTTTTGTTGACTCTCAACCTTTCCCAAGCATGTTGTCGCCTCTCAAGGAGTAGCTTCTCCTAGCAACATGCCTAAAGTATGAGGGATGAAGCTTTGCCAGCCTTGTCTACAAGGAGCATTCTGACTGTTTTTTTTCCAAGATATATTGGGTTTTTTAGTAGTCTATAGGATATTCAGTCATCTTCTCCAGCACCACAACTCAGGCATCAATAATTGTTCTATCATCCTTATTCATTGTCTAGCTCTCAGATTCATAGCATGTTCTGAATCAGACACACTTTAGTCTTCAGACTGACATTATTGTTCTTTAGTGTTTTGTAGAGATTCCTAACAGCAGACTTATCTAATGTAACAGTGGTGTCAGAAACCTTAAAAATTGGCTTTTCTACCCATTGTGTTATCCCTCATTGGGGGCATGGTCTACAGCTACCTTAACTGAGGACACATGGTCTTGAAAATCATCAACAGCTGTGGGATCAATATAAAAGAGCACTTTTCATCCACACTGTGAAAAACGATAGTGGAGAGAGGGTGAAGATAATGTGAAATTGCGTGAAGAGACTGACAAGGTGTAACCAGAGGTTAAAGGTTTTGCTTACCAGATGATTGAGGGAAAACTGACTTGTAACTGCTCTGAGATAGAGCTTGCTTAATGAGAAACCGGAAGTGCATTTGTGCTGATGAACTGGACCTGGGCTTTCACTAATGAGGAATTGTGCCTTGTTAATTTGGCTTGAGACTGCTGGACTAAACCTGGACTTATTGTTGTTGTTGTTAAGTGCTGTTGAGTCATAGGGAACTCCTAGCGACCCTATGAATGAAAGACCTGGACACTTGTATAGCTTTCATCCTTTCTCCAGGTTCATAGGGTTTCCAGAGGCAAGCTATTTCAGAAGTGGATGCCACTCCTGCTTCCAAGCTTGTTTTAATCGGGGAGCTCCACCAAACACTGTCCACCATGGGTAACCATTTTCACATTTGACACATCAGTGTCACAGTGTTCAGCTTCACAACCATGAGTTACCTCTGTACAGCAAAAGGACAGACCAGTGCTATACAACCTAGAAGAATGTTTCACCAAAAACAGTTAAAGATAGGCCTGAGGACCATGGATTAGGGTCACCCACCTTTGGCTTGGTATCATCACTTTCTGTCCACTAGGTCAACTGATCTTTCTCTATTCTGTTGTTGTTGTTAAGTGCCGTCAAGTCATGGACTTATATTGTATAATATTATTTACCTTCCCCACCCTCCAACCTATTACCCTAAAAAAATCCCATAACTGTGAGTAAAGTCTGTGAGTCAGTTTGCAATAAACATTGGACTCAATGATTCATAGGAAGAGGTGCAGGAGCGTGAGGGGTGGCATGTCTGACCCTGTAGGTTTTTGTTTGCTACTATGGATATTGTTGATGGGGATAGTTCTCCTATATGAAGCCGGTAGAAGTTAGTCTCAGTCATCCCTATGTTACATCAGCTCCTTTCACAGTAATACATCTCTTGAGTGCTGGTACCAACTGTGTTGGTTGTTGATCCAAGCAAGATGAGATCATTGACAACTTCAATCTTTATTTATCTATCATGATACTGCCTTTTGGCCAGTAGTGAGGATTTTTGTCTTCTTGATGTTTAGATGTAACCCATATTGAAGACTGTAGTCCTTGACCTTCTTCTGCAAACATTTCAAGCCTTCCTCACATTCAGAAAGCAAGATTATCTCATCCTACGTAGCGCAGGTTGTTGATCAATCTTCCTCTGATCCTGATGCAACATTCCTCTTTATAGGGCCCAGCGTTACAAATTATTTTGGCAGTATAGGGTATCTCAAAATACTCTTAGGCCCAGATCCATGGATGAGGGTTCTGAGACCCCAAAACCACCTCCTAGTTCACAAAACATGTTGAACACCTACGATTTCTAATTGCAAACTTGCACCATAAGGCAGCTGCTTGAAGGGCACTGCCCTGAACTTCCCGTGGGATAGTATTATGTTGTCCTATGCCAAAAGAGTATACATTTAATGTCAATTTGTAATATTTGGTGAAGGTTTTTTTAATTTTTAGATTCATGTTTAAAAATTAAGTTCTAACTCTTGAAAATGTCCAAATACTAACAGTTTCATTATATACGATCATAATTCTTCACATTGTCTTTTAATAATGCTTTTTAATGGCACATTTAAAATGTGATTTGGTTTTAAAAAATTTATCTTTAAACAACATCTTTAATAAATGTCATTTTTTTTCATTTAAATTGTGATTTTCATTTTAAAACATTTTATATATTAACTTTTTAGAAAAAGATCCATTATTTTAACAAGTAGAAATCATTCTGGGTTTATCTGATTAGATTAAAGCATATTAATTATTATAGAGGTCAATCTACTGAAGACTGTTATGGTTAAATCTCATATAGATATGAATACATTTGTTTTTATTACAGATACACAAAAGCAAGAATCTACTGTGGGTGGAGGAACCACCAGGCATTGTTTCTATGGACTTCAGCCTGACTCAGAATACAAAATCAGTGTTTACACAAAGCTCCAGGAGATTGAAGGACCTAGTGTGAGCATAATGGAGAAAACCCGTAAGTCACGTATATTTTTTTCTAGCCCTCCTCTCAGTGAACAAGCAGTCCTGGGGCATCCCATTTGGTTCTTCAATCTTATTCCATAGAAAAAACACATTAGCTTTTGCTGCCCAGGACAGATTCTGATAGATACAGGTTTTGCTTCTCATCCAGCCCTTGAATTCACTGCATGCAGCCAACTGATGTCATCGATGTGGTGTTTTCCATTCCTCATATATTTTTCACAGAGCACTATAAAGCCATATGACGGCAGAACACTTAACAAGGACTTACATTGTGATCCGTATCCATAAGGAACGTTTGTGGTATGTGGAGTGTGACACAGAGTTTAAGTACTGGGTCTTGACATTAAAACAAGGGCGTATTACCATGACCATGAGGGTGGGAATAGAGCCAAAATGTGTCAACTTGCTGACCCTGTGGTTATTGCCTGTGTGAAAGGCTCTTGCACTTTTCCCATTTTGGCCATAGATCTGAAGTGTGGAGAGGAAAATTAAAACAAAGCACTTTGTACAGGTTCTGAAGAGCATTTTGTTGTTAGATGTCATTAAGCTGGTTCTGACTCATGGCCACCTCATTTACAACAGAACAATATAGGACTTGATCCAGTTCCATCTTCACAATTGTTGCAGTCACTGTGTCTGTCATCTCTTTGAAGTGCATTGTTGTTGTTGTTGTTGTTGTTGTTGCTATGTGCCCTCAAGTCAGAACTGACTCATAGCTGACTCTCCAGTGGGCTTGTAGAAGCAGTAAATCACACAGGAGGAGATTGGCCATCCTTCTGGATACAGTGCATGGTGTATGCCAATTCTTAGAATGACTTTAATCAAGTCTTATCCTACTTTACCATGCTTAGTAAAGTGAAAAAGAAGGAACATGGCAAGATGAACTGACACCCTGAATGCAACAACGGGCTGGACCACAGCAATGATTGTGAAGATCGTAAAGGTCTATGCAGTGTTTTGTTCTGTTGTACATGGAACCAGTATGAGTTGGAACCAATTCTATGACCTCTAACGGGAACAACACAGGCAGATGGGACTCCGTTTTATGGCTATTAAACAAAACAAGCAAAAAAGTTAAACTCAATTGCCATTAAGTTAATTACAAGTTATATGATCCTAAAAAGATATAACAGAACTCTCTGAACTCTCCAATGCTGTATTCTTTACAGAAGTTGACTGCCGTTTCAGCTTCCCATGAAGTAGCCAGTAGTTTGAACCACAGACATTTGGCTAACAGTCAAACACTTCACCATTGTGTCACCAGAGCTCTTTGTTTCATGTTTATATGATTATGTAATTATAAGATACTATTACTATATTAAGTGTTATAGTGCACAAGATTTAAAGTCAAACAAATTTAGGTAACACACTTATTCTACTTTGGAATAACAATACCATTGTGACCTTCAATAATTAACGTCTCTGATTTTCCTCCCTCGTTATTAACTATCTTCTTTGATTTCTGGCGGTGATGGTAGCAATCCTGTAACAGAGTACTTGTTAAGAGCCCTTCTAACCTCTTTGTCACTGGAGAAGTCCTTTTTGCATTATCATTATTATTATTTTTTTGGTCATCATTATCGCCTTCATGGAATCACACACTAATGGTTTAGGATCTGTATTTTATCAGCACATATATTTTTTTTCTGTCAATCAATCTGCCAACAATGAACCCACATGTCCTCAGGTGTCAATTTGCCGGCTCTTGTCCTGCAAATATGTTCCCCAGTTTTCTATAATTTCTCAATATCCTTTGTTTGTGTTTACTACCTACCTCACCTTCGTAGGCATTTGAGTTTGGAACCCTCGGCCTACTTCAGTTTCCCCCTATGCTCAACCACACGCTGTTAACTACCAACCCAGGGCAGTTGATTCCAGTTTGGACAGCTCTGGTTGATGTAGATGTGTTCCAGATGTTGAGAACATCTGTCTCCTTGTAGCTTCCACCCAAAGACTCTAGTCCAACTTTCTGAAACAGTGCAGATCCCGATTGTTCCCTGTTCTATATGACATCCCCTCCCATATATAAAGGCAAGGGTCGTCTGTGTACTGCAGAGTGTGCATCTGGAGATAAAAACACACAAGTCACCGGTGCATTGTGCCTGTTGTTTCCTGGGAGATTGTTTGGTGAGATGTTTCCCCTCAAACAGATTGCTCTAGCTATACAGTCACTCTTTAATGTTCTTCTTGATTTATTGCGTGAACTTGGGACGACTTTCATTTTCAACTTCACAATGATGAAGATGACCCATTAGCTTCCAAAGATTTTAGAAAAGGGAAATCAAGCTTGAGAAGTATGTCGCTGTACTTTCAGGAGAGTCCGGCTAATGTTTAGTGCTAGATTTTCTCAAAATTTTCCTGCTTTTTAATCTATTTTGTTTTAAATATTGGCATAAGAAATAAAATGATATAGATCTATATATGCACACAAAATATATCTTCATACTAATACAACAGGAGGATGTAGAGCAGAATGTTGACCTTTCTCTCTCTCCTCCTAGTCTCCTTTCCCAGAAATATGCATTGAGCTTACTTAATGAATTTTGTCTGCAGTATACAAAATAGATTTATATTTGTGATTTATCTGTGAGAAATATATTTCCCAAATGGGATAATGCCGTGATATTTTGTGACTTTTTTTTCACTTCATATTATGCTAGGGGTTTTTTTTTGTATCAATAATGTAGAATTGCCTCATGTGTTTGTATATCGAATTGTTTTAGTAAAAACATTTTTGTTTTATTGGATCTTAGATTGGAAAAGACCCTACACATTACCTTTCGCACCATCTCTCACAGCAAGTTGTCAGTCTCCCTGAGCTCAAATCCTTTTAGTTCTTTGGTGTTTACTATCTCCTAAGACTCAGCCTCTCTCCTCTGTGACGGACTATAATTTAGGGAAGATTTTCCTGTTCAAACTGAAATGCCTCATGTTGCATTTCAAGCACTGTTTCTAGCTGTATCTTCTAGAGTGACCATTACATATCCTTTTGCCAATGCTGCAAACCTTAATCTGTGCTCTGGATAGCTCCTGTGCCATAAAATTAAAGGATGGGAATAATGTCTGAATCTTCTGAGGGGAATATGGAATCAGAAAATTTTCTGGGTTTTTTGATCACTCCTTAGTGTCAGATAGGAGTAAGAGATAAATACATAATAGAGTAATACTTTGCTTTGTTGACTTCATACACTGTAACTTCCTAGTACTTTGCTGTGTGTGGAATGATCAAAAGCACTGCTCCAGTTAAGCATTCCAGGTCCCTTAGCTAACCACACCTTTGCATCATGCTTTTATTTCTCATCCCTTGTCAACTAGGTCGACCTGATATGGACAGATTCTCACCTAACAGCTTTTCTATGTGATCTTTAGAATAGAAATATATTTTTCAGTACAATCTGAACAGAACTGAGAATGGGTCAAATTCCATTATCATCTTGAAGAATAGGAATAGGAGAATGAGAATAGGAGAGAGAGCTGTTGGACAAAGATTGATGGCAGAGTGGCAGTGACGTTTATTGTATGTGTGAAAGCAGTCAGGGACTCAACCTGAGACAGGCTGACAGGATTCCTGCCTTAAACCAACGTTAAAACTGCTCTGTAGTTGACAGTTTGATTGCATTGACTCCTGTTGGGCAAATGGAATTGTCACAAAATGGCCTATCAGCCTGCGAGTTTGGTTTTCACATACTGTAGCTAATTTACAGTAGCTGCCCAATTCTCTAAGAAGACATTTGTCAAAAATCATTGACTCCCTCAAAGTACTGCTCCAGGACCTCACACTAGTCCCCACAGACGAGGTGGCTAATGGACGTGGATGTTCTTTCTCTCTCTTCTTTTTTAGAATCACCTCCTACTCAACCACCAACTTTCCCTCCAACCATCCCACCTGCAAAAGAAGGTAAGAGAAGAAGGTGATGAGGATATGACTTTAGATTTAAGATTCCTATTCACCTCACATGTTTATTCATTCAAAAATCAAGATGTTAATAATAGGGTTTTGGGGGGGTTTTATGATTAATAGAAGATTTATTTAAGCAATAGTAATAGATAGTCCTCTCTGTCAAACTTAATATGAGACAGTGCTTGTTCCCATTTTCCTTCCTGGATAAGTTTTTCTTTCATATCACTCTCGGTTTTGAAAACATAATGCCAGAAGAAGAGGGGCCCAATGTCAAACACAGCTCCTATGAGGGAAAGCCTGGGAGTGGGCCTGAAATTGGGATACACATTCGCTGATCTTGCACAGGTCCAACAAGTCAAGGCAGGATCTTCAATGATTGTCTGCCAGTTGGGGTCATTGAGCTGAAGCAGATACTCCCATTTAAGTTGGGATCTAATGGCCAGCCACTCAGTTTGAGCCCGCTGGCTCTCCGGAGATATGTTGTATTCGGTTGGGTCGAGGGTAGCAGGTAGGTGGCCAGGCGCGATGACTTGTATTTTGGGAACGACATCTTGACAACAATAGGTTTTTATATACATGAAAATCTTGTGCTTTTTCAGCTTCAAATTCAAACAGTAAATTTGTCACATTTTATAAATCTGGAGACTACTTCTCCAGATCATTCCTGTCTTTAGAGTATTACCTCATTTGGAGATGATTTAAGTTATAAGTAGCTTTAAGGAACTCAAAGTAAACTTAAGAAAATAAGAGCCTAGCGGAATTCTTCTTTGTTTTTTTAAAGAAAGGAGGAACACATATCATCTCATAGATTATTTTTGTGCGACTGGCCTAAGATTAAGATTATTGAAGAGCAAATTGTCTGTGTCATCATGAAACAGCAGTGAACTGCAGTGACCTACATTAATAGAGGGGAAGAAAGGTTTAGATAATTGGAAACTACATGATACCCCCAAACCCCCAAAAGATGTTAAGAAAATGCTCTCAGATGATGTCGTTTTTTGTTGGTACGTTTATTGCTTTGTTGTGTTACTCTCAGTGATGATAGTTTTCTAATGATGATAGTTTTAATGATAGCATTAGCATACATTTCTTGACCAAGGATCAAGGAGTGACACAAGAGCATAGGTGAAATTACTGGGCTGGGCTGGGGTTATGCGTATGGTGTCAGTCCAAAGACATATCAAATTGTTAGTTAATCTACTTCACTTGGGTCACATGCCTTTCTTCTGAACCTGATTAACTTTGAACTTAATTTTCTGACTCAATAAACAAAGACAAGAAGCACATAGTGAATAGCTTGACCTTCTAATCAGTAGAGAATGTTCTAATTGAAATAGAGATGGCTCGCTGATGCTTCTGTCTCTAAATCCCTTTAACCCCAAATTTTCCTTCACCCTAATTCTATTCTTTTATACTGAGCTTTACAGCACTATTTTCCTCTCTTCTTCTGTGCCTCCAGTGAGAAGTTCTTAATCGTGAATTGCAGTCTTGGATATAGGCGAGAATTGATGGTCAAGAAGCATGATGAGTAATATTTTAGAATATGAACTTTCCCTTTGGGAAAGAGCTTTTAATTGCCAGAGGGGAACTACCAATAGTGATCTTTGTCAGCTTATATATTAACTGCTATCTTGTCCTTTTATCTCATGTCTGATTAATTTATTCTTGATCTTCAGTATGTAAAGCTGCCAAGGCAGACCTGGTGTTTATGGTGGATGGATCCTGGAGTATCGGAGATGAAAATTTCAACAAGATCACTGACTTTCTGTACAGTACTGTTGGAGCCCTGGACAAGATCGGTGCAGATGGAACTCAAGTAAGGCTAATAGAGCAATAATTCATTAATTTTTATCATATAGAATTATTTATTCATTTATTTGATTAAATTGTTTTTTTTAGCTTTATTATGGCACCCTGCTAAGGATATGGGTAAAGAATAAAATTATAGTCAGGGAGCTCTGATGGCCTAGTGGTAAGAAGCTGCCCTGCAATCCCAAAGGCATGTGGTTCAAATCCACCAGCTGTTCCATAGGAGAAAGATGGACAGTCACCTCCTTTGTGACTTACTGCCTTTGAAAACCTAGGATCACCTATGGGTCGGTTCCAATGAGATGTCATACAACACCATCCACAAATAAGAAGAAAGTAGATTAGTCTGGATTTAGTAGCAGCTTATTTATTGATACATAATAGAATTGAGAAAGATGCTAATTCTTTACCTATCACATCCAGCCAATTAAGAGAGATATAATGTCTACGTCATTGTATATTTCTTTTATATATCAATAGCATTATCTTTTTAAAGGATGTCTATAATATTTTTCACTGACTCAGGGATATCAATATTGAAAAATAGGTAATAAGTTACTATATATAGTTCAGATATCACCTGAACCTAATTTATTTATGCAACAGGTATTTGTTTAGAATCTAATATGACTAGGCTTCATACTTGTCAGAGGGTATATAGCCATGAGTATGATCAACAATGTCTTTGGTTTTGGGGGACTGACATTCTTATAGACAGAAGGAAATGAAGAGGTGAGAGAGATGGGTAAAATGAGCGAACAGATAAATTCACCAGTTAGGGATGTAATTTGTTGGTGCATAGTGACCTGAGAGTCCCTGAGAGTGTCAGCTCAGCTCATTGCTGTTATGTTGTGCCTCACTCCCTGCTGACCCTCCATCGGGTGTCCGAGACCGTATCACATGGGAGAAGATTGGCCATCTTTTTCTCTTGGAGCCACTGGTGGATTTGAACTGTCACAGACGCATAGCCTTTGGGTTAGCAGCATAGCAGACTAAAGACTGTACCTCCAGAGTATAGATTTGTTTTAAACAGAATGGTTGGTGAAGATCTTTTGAGGTAGTAAAATCATATGAAAAATTATTCAGAGATCTCCAGTAGAATTTCCTGACAAAGAAAATAGTAAATGCAAAGGACCTAATATGCAACTGCCTTTGGCAAGTTTAATAACTGGTACTGATACCCAGAGTGCAGCGGGTGAGAGAGAGAGTGGGAGTAAGAGCAGAAGTGAAAGAGCAGACACATGCTTCGTCATTTTAAAACTTGTGGATTATTGAAGGAGTTAGAATATCCTCCTAAGCAAAACACCATTGCTAAAAGGATATTTGCTTGCTTTATGGAGCACAAATATTAACGAAGCTCCACTGAAATTCCCAAGGCATGTAGTTCAAATCCATTAACTGTTCCGTGGGAGGCAGATGGGCAGTCAGCTCTTGCGCAGTTTACAGCCTCTGAAAACCCACTGGAGGGGCAGCTGTGAGTCAGTTCTGCTTCAACAGCACACAACAACAACAACAAGAGTTAAAACCAGAAGAGTCTTATGAAGCTGATATCATGGACCAGCAAAGAAATAGCAGTGTCCTGCATTGGGCTGATAGGGGTGCAGTGAAATACACAGATTTGAAATATGCAGACATATCTCAGAGATATTGTAGACTGAGCTCCAGATCATCATAATAAAGAAAAATTTATAATTAAGCAACATATATGAATGTTTTGGTTTCATAGGGAGCTCTTGTGGCTTACAGGTAAGGAGTTGCACTGCCAACTCAAAGTCAGGCAGTTCGAATCCACCAGCTATTCCATGGTGAAAAGATGGGAAATCTCCTCCTATGGGGTTTACAGCCTCTGAAAACCTGCTAGAGGCCAACTGAGTAAATTCTTACTCGATGGCAATGAGTTTGAGTTTTTTGTGCTTGAGCAATTGCATTATGAAAAAGTTTGAAATATTAAGTGAATTACCAAAATATGACACAAAAACATGAAGTGGCTGCATGCTGTGGGGATAATGGCCCCAACAGTCTTGCTCAAAGCCTTCAAATTTGGTTGCCTAAAGCTTTCAATATGTAAAAAAAAAATAAAAATATGAAATTCCTGCAAAACACAATGAAGCAAAGCACAGTCAAATGAGATAAACCTTTATCTTGAGGAAGAACTGAGAAAATGTAGATTTGTAACATGTATCTAAAATGTTGACATTAGAAAAGAAGACGAAGTTATTCTGAGAGGAGTCCTCTCTTCTGAATGAGGACTCAAAATGTTTCCTAACAACAGTGACGTCTGAAGGAAACTTTGAAGGCTTACACAATCACAGAAAGTGCTTTATTTGGTCAAGCTTATTGCTGAAGAGCAAAAAATAAAATTAAAAATCACATCCAAGTTCCATAGAAATAAAACCAAATTATTAAATAATTGGCTAGCAAACGTTATAGTAATTGAGAACATAGATCTTGTAGTAGGATGTGCTTGACTTTAAACATTGGCTCTATTTGTAACCTTGGGTAGGTTTCTTGATTTTTGTGGTCTCGGATTACTCATCTGTAGTAAATTGGGCAAAAATAAATAATGGTTACCTCACAGATTTACTCACTGGTGTTGCTATGTGCCATTGAGTCAAGTATGACTCACAGCAAGCCTGTGAACAGCAGATCTGAACCCTGTCCTATCCTGCACCATCTTCATCTTCTCTGACATACATGAGTCCATTGCCACAGTCATTGTGTCTGTCAGTCCATCTTGTTGAAGGTCTTCCTTTCTGCTCTTGATCTTCCACCTTCCCAAGCATGATGTCCCTTTCTAAGAACTAGTCCCTCCTAACTACATGCTCAAAGCAGGACATCCTTATAAAGTGCTTGGCATGTAAAAAGTAGCTAATAAATCGTAGCTGCCACATTATTATTTCGTTATCATCAAAGAGTTTTAATGTCACACCCTTGATTGGCTTTATTTATGATGGACAACACCAATTGAAAAAAAATATATTATGGATTCTACCGTAGCCAGTTTAGGACGGATGGAAAATCAGCTTGCTAAAAAGTACTGCTTTCCTAAAGCAAAGCCTAAATCAACGAATTTCTTGTGGCTTTATCTATCTCATTGTTTCTATCTAATTTAAAAAAACTAACTGTAATTTTCTGAACTTTGTCAAGTTATAGGGACTATCCCTCAGTGCCACTGAGTTGGAATTAACTCATAGCTGAACATCCGGTGGGTTTTCAGAGGCTGTAAATCACACTAGAGGAAAGTGTTCATCTTTCTCCCGTGATTCATTCTGCCTGCCTTTGAGTTGATAGTACAACTCCTTATCCATCAGGGTTTTTTTGTTTTTTTAAAATTTTTTAAATTTAACACATAAGATGTCAAAAGTCTCAGGAAATTTTAGAAGAAACTGTTTCTTGTGCTATGGGTAAAATGCTATAATTTGTACTAGAATTTGGTATGGAACATGTATGAAATTTTAAGCAAAAGTGATTATGGAGAGTTAAGCAAGAAATGAAAATGCCTTACAACAACGATTTGATGATTGCATGTAATTGTATTCCACATTAACCTAGTGAAAGTCTGTCGTTGTTTGTACCAACAAGTTGGAACTGACTTACAGCTGACCCTCAGGTAGGTTTTCAGAGGCAGTTAATCAAATAGGAAGAGACTGCCCATTCTTCTCCTGCAGACCAGCTGGTGTATTCTAATTACATGCTTTTGAGATTGGAGTGGAGCCTCTTAACACTAGGCCACCAGAGCTCTGCATACATGTTAAGTCTATACGTCCATAAAAACTAATATGTTGTCTCTTTCTAGGTGGCAATGGTTCAGTTCACTGATGACCCTAGAACAGAGTTCAAGCTAGATTCTTATAAAACCAAAGAGTCTCTTCTTGATGCAATAAAACGTGTTTCATACAAAGGAGGAAATACAAAAACAGGTAAAACTAAAATAATTTTTAAAAAACCACCCCAAACACAAGCCCAGGCAAATCTCAATATTGTTGTTTGTTGTTGTTGTTGTTATGTGCTGTTGAGTTGGCTGCAACTCATAGCGATCATATGTACAAGAGCTCTAAACCCTGCTCTATCCTGTCCCAACCTCATTGTCTCTGACATACATACTCCCACCAACCCCAATCATTGAATCGATCCATCTCATCGAGGGTCTTCTTCTTCTGCGCCGTCCCTTCACTTTCCCAAACATGATGTCCCTCTCCAAGGACTGGTCCCTCCTTGCAACATGCCCAAAGTATGTCAGATGAAGCTTCAGAATCCTTGACTCCAAGAAGCAGCCCAGATTTACCCTCTCCAGGACAAACCTGTTTATTCCCCCAGCAGTTCATGGTATATTCAGCACTCTTCTCCAGCACCACAGGTCAAAGGCACCAATTCTCTTTCTATCATCCCTAGTCACTGTCCAGCTCTCCAATGCATAGCACACAATTGTGAAGACTATAGCCCTGATCAGGCACACCTTAGTCTCCAGCCTGACATCATTGCTCTTCAGTACTCTGGAGAGGTCCCTGACAGCTGGCTTTCCCAGTGAGATTCATCTCTTGATTGATGGCTGCTGGTACCAAGAGTGTTGACCATGAAGCCAAGCAAACTGAAACTGTTAACTATTTCAGTCTCTTCACCATCCATACTGATACTGCCAGTTGGCCCAGTGGTGAGAATCTTTGTTTTCTTAATGTTGAACTTCAATCCATATAGGAGGCTGCAGTCCTTAACCCTCTGCAGCAAGCATTTCAGGTCCTCCTCAGTTTCAGAAAGCAGGGTTGTGTCAGCTGCATAACGCAGGTTTTTGATGAATCTTCCACCAATCCTGATGCCACATTCCTCCTCATACAGCCCAGCATCCCAGATGATCTGTTGTGCATACAGATTGAAAAGGTATGGAGACAGAATACATCCTTGGTGGATGCCCTTCCCAATTTTGAACCATGCAGTGTCTCCTTTCTCTGTTCTGAGGACTGCCTCTTGGTCCAAGGATAGGTTTTGCATAAGCACAATCAAATGTTCTGGGATTCCCATTCTTCTCAGAGTAAGCCAAAGCTGCTCGTGATCTACACAGTCAAAAGCCTTTGCATAGTCAATGAAGCACAGATAGACATTCCTCTGGTACTATCTGCTTTCTGCCAAGATCCATCTAACATTAGCTATATTATCCCTAGTACCATGACCTCTTGTAAACCCAGCCTGCACATCTGGCAGTTCTCTGTTGACATATTGTTCCAAATGTTTTTGGATAATTTTCAGCAGAATCTTGCTTGCGTGTGACATTAATGATATTTTAGTTAATAGTAATTACTGAACAACATTTATTAAGGTATTTTGCTTTTAATTTTTTTAGCTTTTTTCCCCACTGATTTTAGAACCTTGCTCCCACTTTTCCACCAAAACAAAAATAGAAAGGAATTACATTTTACTCTGAACTCTCTCTCTCTTTTTTTAGGAAAAGCCATTAAGCATGTTCGAGATACGTTATTTTCCCAAGATTCAGGTACACGGAGAGGCATCCCCAAGGTGATAGTGGTTATAACTGATGGGAGGTCACAAGATGATGTGAACCAAATTTCCAGGGAGATGCAAGCAGATGGTAAGTTTTATGTATGGAAACAGTGGCTACCAGTAATAACATTAACATTGTTTTTTAAATCCTTGTTTACAAGTTTCTTAAGCTTTTAACATCACTTTCAGTATTAACCAAATCAGTGTGATTTGTTTCATTTCGACTGATAGAGGACCATGTGGTTCTTGTGGTCCCATCAGTGTCAGACCAGAAAACTTAATCATTTGTATGATCTTTAGTTTTGTCTTATATTTCTCTCCCACTCTGTCCAGCTGGATCTACTACTATGGGTAATGGTCCTCTTATAGTGGCCAGAAATGGTGCAGGGGACCACCTAGTTCTTCTGGTGTCAAGGGCCATGGAACCAATGTGATTTTTAAATTCTCTTCCAGCTTGCAAATATATTCAAATTTTTTTTATTACTTGCTTTTAAGATTGCTTTACTTAATTGCTAAAGTTTCTTACACAGAGAACTCTGTGTATATCTATAAAGAACACAATAAAAGAGTAAACTTGCAAGCTGGAAGAGAACTTAAAAATCACATTGATCTCCATGATGTGGGCTGTTTGGTCTTTGTTATTCAATTAACAATAAGTTATGGCCTGGGAGCCTCTTGTTTAGACCAATTAGGACTCAGTGGGCAGGTCTTTTTGATTAAAAATTGATTTGGCCCAAGGACCACAGGCTCAAGGGCCTGATGTGAGGACTAGTTTGCTATTAGAGTTACAAACTAAATTGTCAGTTTGTTGTGTTTGGGGAGATTAGTGTTCTAATTGATACAGCACTTTTCTGTCAATTTGCTGTACTAAGATAACTTGTGTGTTGCTGTGATACCAGTGTGTCAGATGCCACAGAGTTACCCATAGTGGACAGGTTTTAGTAGAGTTCCCAGGATCCACTGCTTAAATAACAGGCCTCCGAAAACTGTATGAATACAGTGACTGCTACAGTGGCAGGAAGTGTGAGGAGGCACAGGACAGGACAGGGTTCAGATCTGTTGTTGTTCACAGGGTTTCTGTGGATCATGCTTGACTTGATGGCATCTTACAACAAAACAACAGTCAAAAAAGTCTATTGCAAAGGCTGAGAAAGAGAGTCTAACTTCAATAAATCCTTCATGCTTCTTATGTGTGAACTGGAGGTTTTCATATGATGATCATGTAGATGACATTGTATCTGATGAGATAGGTGTGTCAAAGAGTGGTTGAATGCATGTTTGTCAAGCATTGAATTGTAACCCTCCCCAGACTGCTAAACATCTCAGTTTCTATTCCTGTCAAGTAAATGGAGACCAAATCATGGGCTTCTTAGGCTGTGATCTTTATAGGAGGGGACTGCTTTTCTTTATCCTTTGGAGTTGATGATGGATTTGAACTGCTGAGTTTTCTGTTAGCAGTGCAATAGTTAATCAGCTACACTAACAGAGCTCCTTATTTTCTATGCTTAGGGAACAGGGGAGCTTGGATATTGAGATAAACTTACTCTTTGTTTCTTTAACCCATAAATCTTCAAATAACTATTAACATATGCAAACCATGAAATATTCTTCAAAAGGCAACTATTTTGTCTCAAGCACAAACTGAGGAATTGGTCTTGAATTCATTTAAAATGGAAAATTGCTTTAGGCGATGATTGGATAATTACCATATAATGGAGGACTTGTGTGCAGAATTCTGATCCACTGTAAAGAATGGATTTTCCACTCCCATCAAATTCCCCCTCAGTAAACATGTATTATTTTTTTTTGAAACATGTATTATTTTTTAAGCATTTGGACTTCAACTTATATTTTGCTATATATATTCAATACATTTTAAAGTAATCAGAAATCTGTTCCCTCTGCCACAGGCTACAGCATTTTTGCGATTGGTGTGGCGGATGCAGATTACTCCGAGTTGGTTAACATTGGCAGTAAGCCCAGTGCCCGCCATGTCTTCTTTGTGGATGACTTTGACGCATTTAAGAAAATTGAAGATGAGTTGATTACTTTTGTCTGCGAAACTGCATCAGCAAGTTAGTTCTTTGGAATTTGTACTTAGGTTGCCTAAGGGCTGAAGTGTTTAATACAGGCTAAATAACGAGCCACATCTTAATCTAGGGAAGGAATATTGACTTGCAGATCTGGTTGTTTTGTAGACATTAAGTATTAATGGCATATGGAAACTACACTCCAACATATATTCTTTAGAGATTTAGATACTCTCCCTAATAAGATGACTGTGTTTAAAAGCAATTGTACTTAAACAGTCCTAACAAGTAGCGTTGAAAAATCTGTTAAGAGTGTCCATTGAAATGTATACTGCACTGAAACAGATGAGGGAGAAAACTGTTTAAAAGGGATATGTGATTAGGTATTTTTGTCATGACAGGAGTCTAGAGCAAAGACTACATGGTGGAGTGGACCTGGGGAAGGGGTTGTAAAACAATGAAAAAATTTTTGTTTTACTTTTCCAAGAGGGTAGTGTACTAGGGGGGAGGGCTGGGAGGGGTGAAAGTGCAACAATGAATGAATGGAAATCCCAAGTCTCTGTAAATTTTTACTGCAATTAATAATAAATTTAAATTAAAAAAAAAAGAGAATACTGAATGGTTTAAAATTTAAAAAAGAGTGTCCACTGAGGTGACACGTTAAAAATGGGACTTCACCCCAAAATGTAACCACCATTAATTTTAGGGCACCCTGGTGAGAAAGAAATAGTTGTCCTCTGCTTTGGAACAGGGGCCATCAGAGTATTTAAATCTGGAGAACTCACACACTAAGCTGGGTTTGGATCCTGTAGATAATTAAATAATTGACATCTGGAAAGATTATGTTAGTTTTCTGTTTTCAGACTTAGTAAAAGAATATGTTTGGAAATGCATCTAGAGTTTTCTATTGTTTTGTTTTCCAGCATGTCCACTAGTGCACAAAGATGGTATTGATCTTGCAGGTAAGTATTCTCACAGTTTTTCTCAAATACAGATTTACGTTTTAAATATCTTTTTTTTGGTCTAATTTTTTTTTACTTCATCCTTAACAGAATAAACTTGAAATTTAAAAATCCTAACATACAGGTGTATTTTTTTCTCTACCTTTTGTTTCTTAGGATTTAAGATGATGGAAATGTTTGGTTTAGTTGAAAAGGATTTTTCATCAGTACAAGGGGTGTCTATGGAGCCCGGTACCTTCAATGTGTATCCATGTTACCGCCTTCATAAGGATGCTCTCATTTCTCAACCAACCAAGTATGTTTCCATTACAAGATATTAAAGCCAATAATTCCTATTGTGAAAATTCCGTCAACTTGAAATGGGCTTGAAATAGATCTTGGTAGGGTTCTCCATGATGTTTAAAGATGATGTTTAGTATCCTTTCTTTAAAAAGCTTCAATTCAGGTATTATATTGGTTGAATTTTTATGATATAGTTAATGCTCATATAATATTATTAGGCCAGTCATTATCCCGAGTGCTTTATATATATTAACTCGCTCAAAGCTCCATGAAGTAGATCTGCCTCTAAGAAGATTCAATTATTACCTTAATTTTACAAATATCAGAATTTTACCATTTCACAAATGATGAAACTAAAACACAAAATAGATCATTGAATTGTGCGAAATATTATAGTTTGTTAAATGGTAACACTTGAATGGCATTCCATTGCATTGCTAACGAAACAGCCATGCATTGCTAGTGATTTGGATCCATCCATTCCTTTGAGAAATAAAGATGAATAATCCCTGCTTGTTAAGATTTATTAGCCTTATAAGGTATATATGATTAGGTATTGTTGTCATGACATGAGTCCAGAACAAAGCCTGAGTAGTGGAGTGGACTTGCGAGGAGGGATTGTATTAACAATGAAAGAATTTTTCTTTTACTTTTCAAAGAGAAGAACTAACTGGAGGGTAGGGGTGGGCAGGGAGAAAACTGTAACAATGAATGAATGGAAATCCAGAATCTCTGTAAATTTTCATTAAAACTAACAATAATAATAATAATAATAATAATATTAATAATAATAATAAAAAGATTTCTAGAACCAGATGGAGGGTTGATGTGAGTACAAATTGACTCAATGGCATTACGTTCTGATTTGGGCTTCCTGCTCCACACCTTGAACCACTGCATATCATTGCTGTGAGTGAGATGGCTTTTATCTTTGACTTCATCACAGTTCCTCCATTGTTGTTGTTGAGTACCATTGAGTCAGAACTGACTTCTTGCTAGACCTCCAGAGGGGATTTTCAGAGGCAATCAATCACGTGGGAGGAGTTGACCCATCTTTCTCCACTGTGGAAATCCGTCTTGCTGAAATTCTTCCTCTTTTTCACTGGTTCTCTACTTAGCATAATACCCTTCTCCAGAGACCAGCACTTCCTAATATGTCCAAAGTATGTGACAAGGAATCAAACCATCCTTGCATCTATTCTGATTCACTAGTCCCAAGACAGATTTATTTGTTTGTTTTTCCTTTAATCCTCCTTCACCAACTTTCATGTGGACTTTTGAGACATTGAGAATACCATGGCTTGGGTCTGACACACACACCTTAGATCTCAAAGTGATATTCTTGCTCTTGGCCACATTAAAGATGTTCTTGGCAGCAGATTTTCAAGTTGAAAATTCCTGATTTAAGAGACGATACAGTCAATCTTTTGTCTTTTCTGGTTTTGATGGTGGTGGGTTTTTTTGTATCTTGTGTAATGAAAGTGTGTTTGGGTTACAATCAGGTAAGTAATGTGTTTGAAGAATATTACAATTCATCATGAATTTTTTGTCCCTGCAGGTATTTGCATCCAGAAGGATTGCCCTCTGATTACACCATTAGTTTTCTATTCCGAATTCTTCCTGACACTCCAGAGGAACCATTTGCTCTTTGGGAGATTTTGAATAAAAATTCTGACCCATTGGTTGGAGTGATTTTAGATAGTAAGTCTATTGAAGTACATAAAATTTGTCCCTATACAATGTATATGAGTAATGCATTTGATATACCATCTTGCCTATTTTTATATCCATAAACTTACTTATTTTAAGCCACGTGTAAATACAAGACAGTGAATTATGCAATTGTAGATGAACATATTCATTCATTAGTCCATCAAATAGTGAGAGAGGGCCTGTTTTGACTCAGGACTAGGTGAAAGGTAGAGGAAGGCTGACAGTTACTGGGTTAGAGAAGACTGTAGGGGGACCATCAGCAGCTCTCAAACATTTAGAGGAGGAAATGTCCTTTGGTACTTGTGGAAGAACTTTTAGTACATGGCAATACATTAACAACTAAATGTGAAATTATGAAGGTATTTGTGTTGCTATTGAGACTGAGTGAAAGCTGTAAATTAAAATGATGGCGTCTCTTGGAATGATTAAGATTAGTTTGTTCCCTCGGAGAGCAGAATGAAGAATTAAATTTTAGGATAATGAAAGACACACTTGGGTATCACTGTCTTGGACTTAATGCAGATTGCATATCCTGGGCAAGTTGGTTGCTGCATTGAGAGAAAGGGCCTGGTTTCTATTTTGCTTTTTCTTTTATTGTGGTGTGGGTGAAAGTTTACCGTGCAAATCAGCTTTCCATTCAGAATTTATGCACATTTTGTTTCTTAGCATTAGTTTCAGCCCCTTCAATGTAATGGTACTCTTTCCATCCCCTGTCTGGATTCCGTGAATTTATTCTTGCCTACTCACCTTCTGAGCTTTGCGTTGGAGCAGATGCTGGACTTAGTACTGATGGCCTTGTGTGGTTAATTGTTCTCAATCTCCAAGCATATACTTGCAGTGAATACTAGAGTTTACACTCTGTTGTTGTTGTTATGTTTTGACGAGTTGCCTGCGGCCCATAGTGACCCTATGTACAGCAGCTCTGAACCCTGCCCTGCCCTGAGCCAGTCACACTGATTCCGACACACCAACCTCCATTGACCCAGTCACTGTATCAATAATAGGTTGAATTCCAGGTTTGAAATCTGTCTATACAGGTCACAGTCTCAGGAATTTCACTAGTTTCTGTCTGATATAAGCCTAACTATTTTTTTATTATTTTCTTTTGTTCTACGTTTCCCTACTATTTTGTCTAGAATCTTCTGAGGTCATGATCAGAATTGTTGGTAATCGTAGCTGGTGCCAACTAGTTTTTTTGGTCTCAAGGAAATGGAGTCTAGGGCTCATGCAGTCCAGTAGTCCTTTTGACCAATTATTTTCTTGAATCTTTTCTTTTCTCTACTCTCCTTTTCTCTGGGAAGGGATAGACCAGTAGTTGATCTCTGATGGTCATTCATCTGAAGATCCCAGTTGATACAACAGGTGCTGAACACTGTCTTTGTGAGCTATATTAGGCCAGTTCTCCAAAGCATAGTGACTGATTCCTTCAAATTGTTTGTTTATGGCTGAGAAGTTTTCATAATTTTCCCAAAATTTGCTCCAGAAAACACATGAATACACTATTGTTGCTGCTATTGTGTGCCATTGAGTTGGAACTGACCCATGGCTGACCCCCCCAGTGGATTTTCAGGGACAGAAAATCACATGAAAGGAGATTACCTAGCCTGTTGCAGAGCAGCTGGTGGTTTTGAACTGTGTTCCTTTGCAAGTGCAGCGCAGCTTCTTGCCATTGGACCGCCAGAGCTCCCTTGAATACTTTCAGTATGTATACTAAAAGGAATTATATACAATAAATACTTATATTACTATAAGTACTTATGTTGTTGTTGTTATGTGTTGTCGAGTCACCTGCGACTCATACTGACCCTATGTACAACAGCCCTAAACCCTGCTCTATCCTGTGCCAATCTTATTGTCTCTGACACACCTACCCTAATTACCCCAGTCACTGAATCAATCCATCTCACAGAGGGTCTTCCTCTCCTGCACTGTCCCTCCACACTCCCAAGCATGACGTCCCTCTCCAAGGACTGATCCTACCCTGCAACATATCCAAAGTATGTCAGAGAAAGCTTCAAAATCCTTACCTTCAAGAGCAGCCTGGCTTCACCCTCTCCAGGATGAACTTGTTTGTTCTCGTAGCAGTCCATGGTATATTCAGTGCTCTTCTCCAACACCACAGCTCAAAGACATCAATTCTCCTTCTATCGTCACTAGTCATTGTCCAGCTTTCTGAAGCATAGCAAGTAATTGCAAAGACCATGACCTGTATCAGGCCCACCTTAGTCTCCTGACTAACATCATTGCTCTACAATACTTTGGGGCGGTCTCTGACAGCAGACTTTCCCAATGCAATTAATCTTTTAATTTCCTGGTTGCTGACACTAAGAGTGTTGACTGTAGAGCCAAGCAAACCGAAGCTGTTAACAGTCTCCACCTTCTCCCTATCATGATGCTGCCAGTCTGCCCAGTATTGAGAATTTTTATGTTTTCTTTCTGTTGAACTTTAATCCGTATTGAAGGCTGCAGTCATTAGTCTGTAGCAAGCGCTTCAGGTCCTCTTCAGTTTCAGCAAGCAGAGTTTTGTCATCTGCATAAAGCAGGTTGTTGATAAGTGTACCTCCAATTCTGATGCCATATTTCTCTTCATAGAGCCCAGTCTCCTGGATAATCTGTTCTGCATGTAGATTAAAAAGATATAGAAATATGACACATTCTTGGCACACTCTTCACAATTTTGAACCATGCAGTGTTTCTTGCTCTGTTCTGACAACTGCCTCCTGGTCCAAGTTTAGGTTTCATATAAGCATAATCAAGTGTTCTGGGATTCCCCTTCCTCTCAGAGTCAGCCATAGTTTGTTGTAATTCACACAGTCAAATGCCCTTGCATAGTCAATGAAACACAGATAGACATTCCTCTGGTACTCTCTGCTTTCAGCCAAGATCCATCTGACATTAGCTGTAATATCCCTAGTACTTAGTATGTGCAAATACATGTGTAGAAATAGTCTTGCTCTACAGCATGAGTGCAGTCCCATTTGCACACCCATGCCTGTTTCTGAGTTTAGGAGTTGATTCACTTCATTTGCTTCCCTTGGTCTGCCTTTACTTTCATCTCCAGACAACTCTTTCCTAAAAGGATAAGAAAGTATGCGTATAGGCAAGGAGGTACTGAAGAAGGGTGTAGCGTAAGAACAATGTGATCGTTGCCTTGTTTCATCACATTAATACAGCTATGCAAAAGCAATCCAAGGACTGTAGATTAATTACTAAATTTTATCTTAAACACAGTTTGAAAACAATAAATGTGTCAATTTCTAGTTGAGTTCAGTTTTACAAAGAGTTACCCATTATCCTTATCTCTAAAATATATGGGGTTTTTTTTCATTGTTTGACCAGATGGTGGAAAAACTCTAACATATTTCAACTATGACTACACTGGGGAGTTTCAAACGGTTACTTTTGAAGGACCTGAAATTAAGAAAATTTTCTACGGAAGTTTTCACAAGGTGAGTAAGAATTCACATACGTTCTTCGTTCTCTGTGCTCCTGGGCAAAGCAACATAGCAATGTGAAAACATTCTGTAGAATTTTGCATCTCAGACTTCCACAGGATTAAGAATTACCCCTGGGAAAGGATATCATGCTTGGAAATGTGGAGGGTCAGTGAGAAAGTGACCATTAATGGGATGGATGGACACAGTCACTGTAGCAAATGGGCTTACGCGTGTGAGATGGTCAGGACAGGAAGGCATTTAGGGCTGTTGTTCATAGGGTCACTATGAGTCCTGCTTGACTCTATGGCCGCTATAAAACACAACAAAGACTTTAATACTCAGGGATTCTGATCTGATAGTTTGAGATGAGACCTTGTTTCAGCTTAGCAAACATCACAGGTGATTTTGGTTGAAGTGGTCCAGATTCTCACATTAGGGGCAATGCAACACAACACACTAAGGGGACAACTACTGCTTTGATCATTTACCACATTGTACATAATGCAGAAAAGATGGCTGGTCTACCTGGCTACCAATGCAGCCACCAAAAAAGACACTGAATCGTTTTCAGATATGACCCCGTGCAACAAGTCTGGATCATTGCGGTCATCAAAAAGTCTAGAGAAACCGCAGGGGGGAGAGTCTGTAAAAACTGACATTAGTTGTCCTCATTTTAATAATTCCTCACTCATGAGAGAACCCTGTTGCTTAACACAGAGGTGTGACTCAGTTCTTGTAACCTCTGTGGTGGCGACCCTTCCTTCAGCCTGTTCTCTTTGCTCTGTGTTAGGCCACTGATCCACTGGTCTGTGGGCTCTGAAGGAAAGTTGCAGCTAGAGAAAAGGATTTTCTAAACTATGTTTCCAAAAGCTTTGTTTCTTAACCAGACTCTAATTGCCATGCTAAAGTGAGGGAAGGATGCTTCATAACAATAGAATTTTGGCTCTGTTTCCTGATCCCAAAATATGGTCAAGCCTATTGAATTTGCAATGTTAGTACTTGCTGTGGTTTAGAATGTTATAATTGCATTAGAACAACATAGAACAAAATTAATCCCATTTTTTACATAAAAATAATTGTGCAACAAAAATTCTATGTGCGTATGTAGTTTAATAGGACTATACTACCAGAGTTACTCAAAGTATCTCAAAGATACTCAGGCAAAGTCGGAGATACACTACAGTCTGGGTCAAAATGGCCTCGTTAGCAGCTCTTTGATCTGATTGTAAGCTCCTCTGAACATGATTCTCTTCTTGTTCGTCTGAGTCTCCTGCACAGCAATCAAGAAAAACTGTAGGGGAGATGAAAAGCAGTTGTGATTTTATGAGTGTTAGAAAAAAATTGCTATCTTAACATGTGGTATAGGCATGAACTTGTTAATTCTCATTCCAAGGAATCCTTTCTAAGTCTTCAGTAAATGGTACGCTTTATTCCCCTTGCCAGAAAAACTCAATGACTTTTGAGTAAGGCTCATTAAAAAAAAGCGGTTTCAAAAGTATACACCTTTGAGCTTCTGAAAATCATATGAATAAAATCCTTTATCCACTGTGTTAAGCTTTGGTTGTTCTTAGGCCGTATAGAGAGTCAGCTCCAAGGCAGTATCTCAAGGTGCCCCGTGATGAAGCTCTCTCCCATTCTCTGCCATCCTCACAATGTCTGCAGCACTTGAGGCCATTGCTGCAGTCAAAATTCTGGTTACTTGTAGACATATTGTTGTTGTTGATTGCCTTTGAGTCAGCACAACTCATAGTGACCCTATGAACCCCACTACAACTATTGACATGTCAACCCATTTCCATGAAGTTTCTCCTTTTCTTCTCTGACCTTGAGTCTTTCCAAGCATAATGTCCTTTTCCAAGGAGTGGCCTTTCCTGACAACAGGTCGCAAGTATGTGAGATGAATTCTCACCATCCCTTCTTCAAAGGATCACCCTGGGTATTTTTTCCAAGGTAGATTTGTTTGTTATGTGGCATTCTACAATATACCCAATATTCTTCACAAACAGCACAGTAAAAAATGAGTAAGGCCAAACAGTCAAAACAAGAAAAAGCTTATCATGTAACAAATTATAATAAATCTACTAATATTGGTGGTGTTGTTAGGTGTTAGTTAAGTCACCAGTAACTGATAGGGCAATATTTAGATCCATTACTCATAGTGTCACTATGAAAAGCTACTAACAGGAAATATGAAAACAAATGCTATTTAGAGAGATAAAATTCTGTGTACTTGTGGACATATTGTTGTTGATTGCCTTTGAGTCAGCATGACTCATAGTGACCCTGTGAACAACAGGCCTGAAACCCCTCTACAACTATCGACATTTATCAAAGTTTATAGTTTCTGGAGGCATGTTATTTAGAAAATGGCTGTCAGTCCTGCTATTTTATAAATTATTTCTCATTCAATTTCAGGTGGGTTTGTTATTTTATATTTAGATATGAAATGAGCCCCAAAAACTCTGAAAAAGTTATTAATTATATATAAGTACACAAAAATGAAGCAATATTTTTAAGCCCTTTTTCTTTTTTAAAAAAGAGAAAGTATTGTTTAGTTTTATTTTTTTAAAAAATAAACAACCCTTCATCCACAAAATGCCTTGAAATATGTCCATTAGCTTTTAGATTCAGTATTCCAGTTTAAGAACCTGAACTGTACGTTAAACTATGGAACTTGATTCCGTTGGGGTTGAGACCTTTCATTCTCCCCTTTGATTCCAGGTCTCCTTTCCACACAGTGAACAAATCAGTTATGTGATTCACTACTGATCCCTGGGATGATTTTTCATAAATCCAGAAACATTTTGCGTTTTGGTTTTTAATTTTATTTTTAATATCCACTTTTGAAATTGCAGGTCTTCAAAAACCCTATGTACTGTTGAGCGCACTTAGCACTTAGACTAGCAGATGTGGCAACTGAGGCTGAGCCCTTAAATGAGGAAACACAAAAGAGGAAGAACAGTTGTGAGATGTCGAATGGGAGAAGCATGAATGTAGGGAAATTGGACATTGTTAAGAAAGAAATGGAGTGCATAAATATTGACATACTCAGTGACTGGGCTAAGGAGGGTGTCAGAGACGGTAAGGTTGGCTCAGGATAGATCAGGGTTCAGAGCTGTTGTACATAGGATCTCTATAAGCTGCAAACAACTTGACGGCATATACCAACAACACAATGTTTAATGTACATCAGGAAAAGACATAACTAGTAAAATACGATTTCAGGTACTATTAACTTCATAAATGGCTAGAGTTTTAAAAGATCATACTGCTTTCTGAAAGAAAGAGAACAAAGTTGCTGCATAGTCTACAAACAAATCTGAAAATGAAAATTCTAGCTCTTCATACTCCTGAAAATTGGTTTCAGTCTTTTGAAGAATGAAGAAGTGAATTCGCTGTATATTTGTCACCAGCACTGGGTTTTGTTTTGTGTTTTGTTTTCTTGCTTAATTTCAAAGATACAGTGAAACCTATGAGAGCTAGAACCTAATGGGACTGCCTTGTTTTTTGGGTCTCACAGGTTTTCTACCTTTGACAGGGTACAGTCTTAATATGTTTCTGTTGCTCTCTTTAGTGGAAAATATTTT